ATGTTTAACCTGGTTTGCACTTTTGTGGTGATGGGGGAGGGAATCTCGAGGCTGTAGAATAAACTACAGTAGGTAGCTTTTAAACAGTTAAATTTTATTTATAGGAAGAAACATGGATTGTTGTCCTACAGATCTTCCTTAGTATATTTTAGAATAGAATAGCAGTAGACTAGCAGTAGACTTATATACCGCTTTAGAATAGAACAGAATAGAATAGAACAGAATAGAATAGAATATACAGAGTTGGAAGGGACCTTGGAGGTCTTCTAGTCCAACTGCCTGCTTAGGCAGGAAACCCTACACCACTTCAGACAAATGGTTATCCAACATCTTCTTAAAAACTGTTGGAGCATTCACAAATTCTGATGGAAATCTGACTTTGAGACTTTGAACTGAGGAGAAGGTGATCAATCTGCATCATAGCACCAGAATACTCCATGGATCAGTAGAATATTTTTAGACTTTAAAAAGGGAGACCCATATAAATTACTGAAAATAGAAGTCCAAAGCTAATCCCCATGCACAGGTGGAAACCCAATATAAGACTTCAGACAAATAGTTGTCCAATCTCCTCTTAAAAACCTTCACTGTTGGAGCATCCATAACATCTGGAAGCAGTTTTTTCCCCTGATTAATTGTTCTGTCAGGAAATTTCTCCTTAGTTACAGGTTGCATCTCTCCTTGATAAGTTTTCATCCGTTGCTTTTTTTCCCTGCCTTCAGCCTCTTCTATTGAGAGTGATTAATATTTTGCATCCACAGTAGATATCTCTCATTTGTTTAAATGATTTTCCCCTCCTGCCCTTTGTTTAAACACCCCCCTGGGAATTCAAGAATGAAGGACATTATTATATATAAAAATGTATCAATGATAAGGTACACATTGTACTTAATGGGTGTTGTAGCCTCGTAAGTCCTCGGACTTACGAATGACAGCTCGGCAGCAGCCAGGCGCGTCTTAGCCAATCAGACGCGCCTGCCGGTTGCCGGGCTGTCATACGCGGGTCTATTGGCTCGACCGTCTGACAGCTGAGTCAGACGGAGCAGAGGTGTCGGTCTACTCACAGTTGATGTTTGTTCCATTCTTGCTTGAATAAACCGCTTAAGGTTACCTCAGACGCCTCCTCGTCATTTCTGCCGCCGATCTAACACTGGCGATGAGGGTGGGATTCAAACCCATGCGTGCAGAGCACAATGGAATCCAGTGCAGTGGATATTCCCACGTGATCCCCACCAAACTCCGGTGCAACGCGTACCCCCACCAAACTCTTCCCGTACCCCTGCGGGTACGCATACCACACTTTGGGAAACACTGCTCCACACTGAGCTTTTTCTATTTTAATTCTTACATATAAGAAAGTTTGCTGAAGCTCCTTTCATTTTAGGTGTCCAATCTGAGGGCCTGTTGGGGGATTCTGGAGGGGATGTGAGAAGACCTGGAGAATATTTGCATCTCTCTTGCCAAGGCTCTGGATTCACCTTCAGCTACTCTTATATGGTCTGGGTGAGACAGGCTCCTGGAAAAGGCCTGGAATGGGTGGCATACAGAAGCTTCCATTCTGCTAAGATTTACTACTTAGACAAAGTGAAGGGACGCTTCATCATCTCCAGGGAAAACGCAAAAAGGCAGCTGTATCTGCAAATGAACAATCTGAAACCAGAGGACACAGGAGTCTATTACTGTGCAAGAGCCACAGTGAGAGGAAGTGAATCTAAAACCAGATAATGGATTGTACGATGCTAATAAAAACAGTCTATCCATGAAAGGGTTATTTGCCATCTCCGGAGACAAATCCAGCTGCCTTCTGTATCTGCATAGGGACGTCTCAAGGATGCACAAAAGACCTAATATTTTTGACCATGACTGAATTAAAATCTGGGCTTTCAGCTGTGAACTTGACTGCTTCTCCAGCTGCTTCCTGGAGAATTGAAACAGTTTCTTGAAGGAAAAATAATAATAATGGTCTTTTGAGAATTTATTTCCCCAAGAGTTCTCAAAACCTTTTCAACATCATGCTTCAATGTGTATAGCAAACAGAAAATCCCTTATATGCTATTTACTTACTTCATTCCTTATATCCCATTCATTTATTACATGTATGCTGGTTGATGAACAAAATAAAA